CACACACAAGTTCTGAGAGCTCTCCTGTGTTTACCTAATAAGCATTTGTCTGCAAGGCATGATTACAAAGGGAGAGAGGAGATGAGGATTGTGTCTAAATAGGAATGGTAAAAATGTAGCAATGAAAAAATCAGGTTTCTCAAATTTGTAGCTCCTTTGGATTATGAAGACAACATTTGGCCTGATTTCTGAGGCTTTAGCCTTCCCATCATTGTAGGCATTGTTCTGTTGTGATAGCAATGCAGTACCAGGGGAGTTCTCAAGTTTCAGATTTTGCAGGGGGAAATTGGCCATTACTGCATCTATTCAGAGGCCATCCACCATAGCAGGACCAGGATTCAAAAATATCATTTAGAAGGACCCAAATGTTGCAGACAGTGTTGATGGCTTTTTTGGCAAAGAGGAAAGAAGGATTGAGTGAGGGGTTGTTCTAATCTACACTAAGAAGCTCCTGTGTATGTTCCTCTGCTCTATTATGCACTTCTGTGTTGCACTCAATAGCTGGACTTAAGTCATGGATCAAGTGGCCCTGTTACTAGAAAACAGTTGGGGAAGATGGAGTCTATGTGGTATGAACAAGGCCTTTTATAAGGCTTCTGATGTTTACCTGAAGTAAACTTCTAATTACACAGAACTCACACAAACAAAATTACATGGATTTTTTTTTTTTTTTTTAATTTGTGCTGTGAATAAAACACACTTTTACAATGATGAAATTTTGATTAGGCACAGTTCCCATTAGCTAAGATTAGGAGCTGGATTATACCTCCTGCATTTTTTAAACATTATATGATTAAAAAAAGGTGAGTGGAAAGGAAGAATTAGCACAAAAAGTTTCACTACATATGGGCATATGCTAAACAACATCTGAACAAAGATAACTGACTCTTTTGCACCCCTGCTGATGTGTTTGGGTTTATCAGCATGAAGTAAGAGAGTATTTATGTATCAAGAGATATTTTTTTTAAATATTTATAGGGTGCAAGCTCCTTAGGCATGTAGAGGAAGCTTTTTGAATTCATCATCATGTTTTCAGAGAAACTTATTTTACTAAATTATTTTGGCATTAGCAAAAGGAGCTCCTGATCTGTCCCAGATTTAGTTTCACTAGACTGTGAGAAATGGGTTTTGGGACAACAGTGATATAGATATAGCTACTAGGGTGTGCAAAGCTTCGGTCACCAATTCAATTTGGAGACGTTTCGGCCCGATTTGGCGGCCAAATCATCAAATCCAAATTGAATCAGGAGACCCATTAAAAGCTCTGAATTGATTCAAAGCATCCAAATCAATTCAGAAAAGATTTGGCAATTTGGAAGGCAGTCAGTCTTGCTTTCAGGGAAACAGATATTGAGAAGTTGGGGGAGGGGAGGGGGTAAAGACTTCTCTAATATTGACATGTATAGCTGGCCAGTGACTGTGATCTTTCCCTGTGTTCCCTTCCAATCACAGTGCTCTGGGGGAGGGATGTAGAAACAGCATATAAGGCTCTGTGTGAAGCCTTTCTTTCCCTTTTGTGAGCTGCCTGTCTGGAAGCAACAGCATGTGAGAGGTACTGGCTGACTGCAGTGGCTGGCTTCCTAGTCAGTCTCTTGCTAGTCTCTCTTCTTGGAAAGAATTGGATACACCTTTCCAATATATTACAGATAGAAGATATATTAAACAGATAGA